TGACGCGCCCAAACGTCCTGACTAACCCCCGCCTGGAAATCTGAGCACGCGCGGGGGGGAAGGGGCCGTTGATCTAAACACCATTGCCTTCCAACCTGCGCGACGAAGGGGATGGGGGAGGAAGAGGGGGAGGAAGAAGAAACGGAGGAGGAGGAGGAAGGAGAGGAGGAGGAGGAGGAAGAGGAACACCAGCTGCAGGAGGGGGGAGATGAGGCGGAGGAGGAGGAGGAGGAATCTAACGGAGGAGGACGGGAAGGGTGGAGAGGGGGACGATGATAATGCCGAGCAGCAGATGGAGCAGGATCAGCATGCATGGCCCCATCGGCGCGGGGATGGGGGGAGGGTGGACGGGGGAGGAGGGTGTGTGTGTGTGGTGTGTGTGTATGTATGTATGTATGCATGCATGCATGCATGCATGCATGCATGTATGCATGTATGTATGTATGTATGTATGTCTGTCTGTCTGTATGTATGTATGTATGTATGTATGTGTGTATGTATGTATGTATGTATGTATGTATGTATGTATGTATATATGTATGCATGTATGCATGCATGTATGTATGCATGTATGTATGTATGTATGTATGTATGTATGTATGTATGTGTGTGTGTATGTGTGTGGGAGAGAGTTATTGTGTGTGCGTGTGTGTGTGTCGTGGGTGTTTTTTTAGGTTGGTGCGGCTGGGGTTGATGATGGGGTGGGGGTGGAGAGCAGGAGGGGGGGGAGGTGGGCGATGTGAGGTATTCAGAGCGTCCCCACCAACGTTTTCCTTGCAACGCTAACCCAAGGGCAGGCCTTAACCCATGGGCAGGCCTTAACCACGGGGGCGCCCGCGAAGCGCAGGGAGGAGGACGATGGGGGAGGGGGAGGGCAGGTAGGACGCGTCGGATGAGGAGGAGGTGCAGGAAGGGGGAGGAGGAGGAGGAGGAGGAGGAGAAGGAGGAGGAGGAGGAGGAGGAGGATGTGGCTGAGGATCGTGAGGACGAGGGGGAAAATGATAAGATAAGACACGCGCCGAGGAGGCGGACCAGGCTTCAGCCAACACAGTGGGTTCCCGAAAATGTCACGAATCTCGGTGCCACCACCTGCATCCACAATTCAGGACGCAACGAAAATGTCACGAATTTCGGTGCCCATGCGGACCCCGAGACTCGCTTGCGAACTCTCTGGTGGAGCTCGCTCGAGAGACCAACTCTCTCTGACGAGATGATGCGGGTGAGGGGCTATCGGCGAGGAGGGTCACGAGTGAGGACGCGGAGGGGGCGGTTGAGTAGGATGCGGTTGCCTCCCGCGCTGCCTGATCTCCTTCAGCACTGCCTTATGCGAGCAGGGCTGCACTTTGCGAACGGGCGCTCGCGGGGGGAAGATGAGAGGGCGAATATTGGGGGTGCGAGCTGGGGGCATCCAAAGGTGGTTGCTAAGCGACCTCAGTTTCCTGAGACGCCTTGTTCCCCCCCTCCCCATTGCCCCCGCCAGCGCAGGGAGGGGGGCGCGTGGGTGGACGAGAGACGAGGTGGGGATGAGGGGGCGAGGGCGGGAGGTGGAGGAGGATGGATGAGGAGGAGGAGGAGGGGGAGGATAAGGAAGATGATGAGGAATGGGAGTGATGAGGATGGGGATGCTGCGTCGGATGAGGAGGAGGAGGAGGAGGAGGAGGCGGAGGATAAGGAGGAGGAGGAGGAGGAGGAGGAGTGCGGAGGAATATAAATAAGAACGTGCCACCGTTCGCATAGCGAGGCCCCTTTCGAACCTTGACGTCGTTCAGCACCGTGTAGGCGTCGCTGACGTTGATGCTGAACGTGGAGCTCTGTGGGTTGCCAGCCAGCAGAATCAGCGCCGCGACGCGAACGCTCGTGGTCTCCTTGAGGTTCGTCAGTGCCAAGCGTTCCAAGTGGATGCCGAGCGACTGGAGCTTCTCGTGGTATGACTTAGGCGCGAAGCCAGTCAAGACATCCCAGAGCGAGGGCGTCAAGAACCGATGAATGTTCATGGCCTCGGCGCCCGCGTTGCTGCCGCGAGTCGCAGTTGCTGTCGCTGCATGTGGGCTGGTCGCAGCGGCAATGATAGATGCGGAGAGCTCCTGGCGAGAGGCGTGGTTCCACGGGGCCTGCTGGATGGCGTTGATGGCCTGCTCTCGGCCGCGCGCCTCCTTCCTCCTCAACATCATCACACGTTCACCTTCTCCTCCTTCTCCTCCTCCTCCTCCTCTTTCCCCCTGCTCCTCCTCCTCCTCCTCTTCCTCCTCCGCCTCCTCCTTATCCTCCTCCTCCTCCTCCCCCGCCCACCCTCGCCCCTGGCGGGCCTGGGTCGCTTCGGCAAGCGTCAAGGCGCCCGCCTGCCTCAACGCGTTGATGAGGTTGTCTTTCTCGTTCGCGAGCCTGACCTGCAAGGCGTCGCCGACGAGAGACCCAGCCTGCGCGGCAGTCTGGATGAAGTCGACCGTCTGGCTGACAGCCCTGAGAAACTCAGCCATCGCTGCCAGCCAGGAGCAGAACGCTGGGGGAAGAAAAAAAAAAAAAAAAAAAAAAAAAAAAAAAAAAAAAAAAAAAAAAAAAAAAAAAAAAAAAAAAAAAAAAAAAAAAAAAAAAAAAAAAAACACCTGAGGGGCGAGCCCGCTTGAACAGGAAACGCTGTCGTGGCGATGCTGACGGGGGCGTTGCGATCCACGTCGCACATCCTACTTCTCATCATCATCATCATCATCATCACTCCTCCTCCTCCTCGGAGCTGGCTGGAAGGCTGAGGTGGCCAACCATGCTCGCCGCTGGTTGACAGCCCTGAGAAACTCAACCTTCGCTGCCAGCCAGGAGCAGAACGTGCCCACCCAACAAAAAAACCTGAGGGGCGAGCCTGCGTGAACAGGAAACGCTGCCGTGGCGATGCTGACGGGGGCGTTGCGATCCACGTCGCACCTCCTCCTCCTCCTCCTCATCATCATCGTCATCGTCATCATCACTCCTCCTCCTCGGAGCTGGCTGGGGGGCTGAGGTGGCCAACCATGCTCGCCGCTGGTTGACAGCCCTGAGAAACTCAACCTTCGCTGCCAGCCAGGGGCAGAACGTGCCCACCCAAAAAAAAACCTGAGGGGCGAGCCTGCTTGAACAGGAAACGCTGTCGTGGCGATGATGGCGGGGGCGTTGCGATCCACGTCGCACCTCCTCCTCCTCCTCCTCATCATCATCATCGTCATCGTCATCATCACTCCTCCTCCTCGGAGCTGGCTGGGGGGCTGAGGTGGCGCACCATGCTCGCCGCGCAGGCGGCTGGCCCGTCCCAAGATGCACCACCACTCACCAACCGACAGGTGAAAATCCTTGGCATGGACGGAGCTCAAGCGCTGGCACGACTGGGCATGGCCTCGGCGACCAACTCTTGACAATGGAAAAGGAAGAAGAAACAACTCACCCTCCCTCAAGGCGCAGGGCACAATGGCCCAGCATTAAGGCGGTTTGCCATCGAGGGTGTGATGGCCACGTAGCCACCACGGGGCGAGATGGAGGAGGAGGAGGAGGAGGAGGAGGAGGAGGAGGAGGAGGAGAAGGAGGAGGACGACAAGCATGGGGAGCAAAGTTTCGGCGTGGTTTGATGAGCGCATGCTTTCGGGGGGGGATCCGTTTAGCCAAAGTGCGCGCGCCCTTGTCATTGCTGCATGCAGTGCGAGATGCGGTCGAGAGGGGCAAAGAGGGAGGACGCATGAGAGGTTCACGATGTTTTCGGGAAGGGCGTGAATGCATGAGGTGGTACACGTCGGTGGGCAGCGGATGCACGTCGAGTTCGGGCCCTAAAGAAAAACAGGACATGTCCTGAAGCAGCGGGCTCGCCCCTGCAGCGATCGCTTAGTTTTTTGAATGGGTCACTGTGTGAAGTTCCTGGTTCTAATTATCCTCCTCCTCCTCCTTCTCCTCCTCGTCGTCCACCCTCTCCTCCCCCTCCGCCTCCTCCCCAACCCCCTCCTCCTCCTCCTCCTTTTCCTCCTCCTCCTCCTCCTCCTCATCCTCCTACCCCTTACCGTCCGCCACGGACGGTGAGGGGGGCCCGCGGGGGGGCAGAGAGGCAGAGAGGCGCGCGCCAGCCCTCAGGCCCGCGGGCGGTGGCAGGCGGGTGCACGGGGGCGGACGCGGCGGGGCACTCCTCCCTCCTTATCCTCTTCTTCTTCATCCTTCTCCTGCTCCTCTTTCTCGCCCGCCTCGTTCGAGCCATCATTTCTCAAATCCACCCTCGGGCCGGCCATCCGGTACCAGGGCCGCGCGAAGATGCCTACCCCATGCCTACCCCATGCTTACCCAGTGCCTACCCCGTGCCTACCCCGTGCCAACCTCATGCCTACCCCATGCCTACCCCATGCCTACCCCATGCCTACCCCGTGCCTACCCCGTGCCTACCCCATGCCTACCCCGTGCCTACCCCGTGCCTACCCCGTGCCTACCCCGTGCCTACCCCATGCCTACCCCATGCCTACCCCATGCTACCAGTGCAACCCCGTCCAAACGGATGCTCACCCCGATGCCCTTTTCGTCGAATGCCACCGCCGCCATACCCCGTGCCTACCCCATGCCTACCCCATGCCTACCCCATGCCTACCCCGTGCCTACCCCGTGCCTACCCCATGCCTACCCCGTGCCTACCCCGTGCCTACCCCGTGCCTACCCCGTGCCTACCCCATGCCTACCCCATGCCTACCCCATGCCTACCCCGTGCCTACCCCGTGCCTACCCAGTGCCTACCCCCTGCCTACCCCATGCCTACCCCCTGCCTACCCCGTGCCCACCTCATGCCCGCAGGGCGCTTGCTTTTTTTTTCCTGGCGCGCAGATGCACGCATGCCACTCGGTGCTAGCTCGAAGCCGAGTTGGCATGAACAATGTTACGTCTGAGATCGAGCGCCGATTAATGCATCTTCTGAAGATCACCCTGCGCTGGCGACAACCCCAGTCGCGGCGCAGCTGTTCCCCAGCTCAGACCGTGCTGCCATAGCGTCCGATGGAACTGCGCACTGCTCACTCCTCCACGACCTCGGCCTCGGCCTCGGCTTGCATGGCGTCGATGCTCTTCTTGAACTCGGCGCTCGCTGCCTTGGCGCTGGCCTTCATGCCGTTCACGCTTTTCAGGAACACGTTGATATCTTTGCTGTTGCCAGTATTCGTGTCCACGAGCCCCTGCAGCGTCACGATTGACGCCGCGAGATCATTCTTCACCTTGGTGGCATCCTTCACCTTCTTCGGCGCGAAGTTATCCACGTTCTCAGGCGCCGTGACCTGCAGCAAGACTGCGCTGAGCTGCAGGACGTCATCCTCGAGCTTGGGGATGGCTGCGGCGATGCGCTTGATGAGCCCAGCGGACAACGACTTAGGTGCAGACTCCACCCTCACTTTGTTGTCTGCATCAGCCTCTTGATCCGTTGGGGTAGCGGCGGAAGCCTTGGCGGCATTCTCCGTCTTGCGCTTCTTGGGGGGGGGGCTTGGCTGTCTTCGACTGCTCAAGGGTTCGGACCTTCTCGAGCTCGGATTCCTCTGACTTGCTGAGCTCCATCGAGTACTCGGGGTTCCACATGAGCTCCTCGCCCGTGACGTCGTGCCGAATCGTGGTGCCATTCAGCTCGTACATTGCCCACCGAGCCTCCCCGCCAGGCTGCGCCAAGATCTTCGCCTTCAGCTCAGCCGTGCGCACGAACCCACCCACTGCCTTCATGCGGTGCGCCGCCTTTGACACGGTGGTGTTGGTGACCTTCTCCGTGAGAAGCTTCTTCAGGTCATCCGAAAACAAGTCCGCGCCGCGCGCGAAGAGGTCGGCCCTGCTGTCGGGATCCAGGTCAGCGAGCGCTTGATCGGTAACGTGCCCCCCCTTCACGACGCGGCGGATCCGCTCCTTCAGAGAGTTGCACTTCCTGCACCTCGCGGTGCATTTGGATCCCGCGAGCTCATTGGCAGCTTGCGTGTAAACTTCTGAGGCTGGCTTGTGCTGCCTGCAACAAGAACACAGCACGGTCAGCTCCTTGCCATCCGAGCAAGCTGCCGCAGCGCCATCTGACACACTAGCTGCCCCCGTACTCTCGGCTGCGTCGCCGACATCTGCTGACAGCGTGGGGGCCTCGGAGGCCGCTGGCGAGGCGGGGGCGGGGGCGGCCAAGGCCGATTCGACCAGCGTGGCTGACATTGCAGGGCTCGGTCGGGCAGACAAAATACAAAAGTGGCGTTGATCTCTCCGCGGCGAGCCGTCGGTCGAGCCAAAACGCTGCGTGTTCGGGCTTCGGCTTCCCCCATCCGCTGGAAAGTGTTGCGAACCTTTGCGTGGGTGCCTCTCGGGGGCTGTGCTTTCCAAGTCCTCATCCTCCTCCTCCTATCACGACTGCTGCTACTACGGCTGCCACTACTACTACTACTACTACTACTACTACTACTACTACTACTACTACTCCTACTACTACTACTACTACTACTACTACTACTACTACGACTACTAATACGACTACTAATACGACTACGACTACGACTACGACTACGACTACGACTACTACTACTACTACTACTACTACTTCCTCCTCATCAGTCCGCATCCTCATCCTCCTCATCCTCATCCTCCTCATCATCTCCCCCCTCCTCCTCCTCACATCCCTCATCCTTCTCCCTCGCCCCGCCCCCCCCCCCCCCCCCCCCCTCTCCCCCCCCCCCACCCCTCCTCTCCTCCTCCTCCTCCTCCTCCTCCTCCTCCTCCTCCTCCTCCTCCCCCTCCTCCTCATCATCAGAATCAGTGTCCCTCTAACCCCACCCCCGCCCCCCCCCCCCCCCCCCCCCTCCTCCTCTGCTACCCCCACCTCCCCATTCCTCCTCCTCCTCATCCCCCTCATCCTCCTCATCCTCAGCTTCTCTCCTCCTCCCTCCCCTCCCTCCTCCTCTTCCCCCTCCTCCTCCTCCTCCTCCCCTCATCCCTCCTCCCTCCTCCTCTCCTCCTCCTCCTCCTAGCGACGGCGAGCCTGTCGCGTAAGTTGGCGAATGCAACAGAGGAGGGGGATCGAGCGACTGCGAGCCTGTAGCGTGGGTTGGCGAATGCACAACGGAGGATGGGATTCGAGCGACGGCGAGCCTGTCGCAAAGATACGGGTTGCCCCGCGCGCCCACAACAGCTGCACGGATGGGGCTGTTGATCTCGCCGATGGAGGGGACTCCTGTTCAACAACGGGGCAGGCGCCCAGTCCAAAGACCACCAGCCCCCCCTCCACGCCCAAAAGGGGGAAGAAGCGCTCGCACCCGCATCCGAGATGGCCACAAGATGGCTCCGAGATGGCCCCAATGGAGCTTCAAGGCAGCCCCTCAGGGCACCATTCCAAGAGAGCCCCCAAAGGGCTCTAAGGAGGCCCCAATAGGCACCCAGGAATTCTGTACCAACCGAGGGCCCGCTGGCACATAATTCCTGGGCCCCTCTTAGTGCCCTCGTGCGGCTTCTTGGGTGCCTCTTGGAGCCTCGTGGAACGCTCTCACCCCCCCTCGGAGCCCTCTTGAGGCCCCTCAGAGCGCCCCAGGAAGCACCGAGAGGGCCCCGAGAGAGCTCCAAGCTGGCAGCAGTTTCTACAACCAGCGGGTGGCAGTATGGCTGTAGAAAGTCGGGTCATCTTGGGGCCCTTTTGGAGCCCCCCAACGCCCCACCCACCCCGACGAACACTAATACGTTTAGAGACACATGCGTATTGCGAAGGCAGGGCGTGCGCCCTCAACTGTCATTGTCAGCTAGCGGGCTTCGGCGCGCGCGGATGCTAATTGACTATTGGTCAGGCTGCTCAGCTGGCGTAGTCCACGATCCGCACACTGAAACTTCCGTTGGCGATGGAAGCTCGGTTAGCACTGACCGTTCCGAGTTGGAATCCTCCAAGCTGGCTGGAGACAGAACTGCGGAGGTCACCTCGGAGGCGGGCGAGAGCAGCACCTCAGCGGGGGGCGAGCTGCGTGCTGCGGCGTGCTGGTCTGCGATGCCCTCGGCGGCGGCGTGCTGGGCTGCGATGCCCTCGGCGGCGGCGTGCTGGTCTGCGATGCCCTGCTCGGCCGCCTGCTCAGCGGGCTCGCTCGGGGGGTTGCGCAGCGGCTCGCCCTGCGCGGCGGTCTGCTCGGCGAGTTCGGCTGTCTGTTCACCCTGCCCCTGAACGTCCAGATCTGCCTCGCTGTGCTCCGCCGTGCCTGGCTGCTCGTCGGCACCCGCCGCCCACTCCTCCCACTCGTCAGCGCCCCAGTTCGCGTGGTGCACGTTTGCCTGCTGACGAGAGGGCACAACACATCACCCGCCACTCCCTTCTCCTCCGCCCAGCCTCCTGCGGCCCCTGGGAGCATCCGAATATAACAATGAACCCCTCATGTGGAGGATAGGGCTTGGGAGGGGGGGTGGATTGTGGACCCCCCTCCTCCCCCGCTGATACCATCCCCCTCCTCCCCCTCATCCTCCTCCGCCTCCTCCTCCTTCTTGCACGGCCGTGGCAGCCTCCCACCGCTGCTGCTGCCACGCCCACGCGTTCGCCATCTCGTACGCAGCCTGCGCCTGCTCGTGGGCTCGCCAATACTCTGAGTACCGACGTTGCCGCATCTCCTCTCGGTGCTGCTGCTGCCGCGCTGCCTGCACGTGCCTCGGGACTCGCCCGCCATGCAAACCGTTGGCTGCAATTGCCTCTTGGCAGAGGAGGTATGCACGCTCTCGGTTCTGCGGTGGGCCACGCAGGGTGAACATTCGCCCCCTGCCGTCGTGCCGATCACGCACTCTAGCTCGGCACCCAGTCTCAGCTTCGATGGCGTCAGTGTCCGCCCTCGTAAGCGGTCCTGCTGGCAGTGGGACGCATATGTAAAACTGTGCAGGCGCGTCGCTCGCAGGAGGCAGCTCTGGCGATCGCCACTGCGACATGGCAGGGGCGACTCTGCAGGCAGGGCCTCGTCGCAAGCCAAAATGGCTTGAGCCAAACTGTCCACAGCTGCACGTGGACACGGAGCGCGGACCCTCTGCTGCAAGGGCGAGCCCGTTGCAGCAGTTGGGTGCATGGGGGCGGTGGGTGGTGGGTGGTGGGTTGGTACTGTGTGGGTGGTGGGTGGGTGGTGGGTGGGTTGTGGGTGGGTGGTGGGTGGGTTGTTGGTGGTGGGTGGTGGGTGGGTTGTGGGTGGGCGGGGGGGTGGGTGGGTGGGTCCCCAAGCTGATCCTGAGGTTGCCTTGCCACCCCCCTCTGTTCCTCTCCTTCCCTTGCTCCTCCTCCTCCTCCTCATTCTCCTTCTCCTCCTCCTCCTCCTCCTCCTCCTCCTCCCCATCCTCCTCCTCCTCCTCCTCCTCCTCACCTCCCCTTCCTCGTCTTCCGTCTCCTCCTCCTCCTCGTAATTATCATCATAGGTCCGACCTTGCAGGCTCACCGCTCCAGATTGAGCGACAGCTATTCCGAATGTTTTTTTTGTAGCTGGATACCACTGGGTGTACTTCTGTTCGACTGAAACAAAGCGGGCGAGGAACGCACGGCTGCGGAAGGGGAGGGGGCTGTGAAGGAGGCAGAGGGGGGTGTTGAGGAGTCGGCGGGGCACGAGGTGGATGCCGAGGGAGGGGCCCATGGTTGGGAGGAGGAAGTGCGATGGACGATGACGATATCGATGATGATGATGGTGATTTCCTCATGCGCGCGAAATTATAGCACGTCAACGCCTGGGAGGTCTGGCGCGACAGGCTGCGCGCTGCCAGGGGCACTCGCAAAGGACGGCAACGACATGACAAACATGGCCGTTGAACAGTACATAACAGTTGTCGTCGCCAACCATTCGTTGGCGGCGCGCCGCTTCCACATGCGGCAAAAAAATAAGGCGTTTCCAATCTGGCGTAGCAAGTGGGTTGCCGCCGCAGAAAAACAACGCTACGCCCACGTGGTATCGGGCCCGATCGGCAGACAACAAAACAAACGAGCCGCTCTTAATCACCCCTCTGGCCGTGGTGATGCGCTTGGAGGCGCGAACTTGGCCAACCTTGGTTGGGAAAAAAACGTGTTCGATAAACTTGCCCAGCTGTGGCGATGGCTTGCTGGCGCCGAGAAACTCGGGCACGAGGCAACGTTCCACGCGCGCCAGCGCATGGAGCGTCTGCCGCCTCAACACAGTGCATTCCCACCCGTCCCCTGCCGAGTGGCGAGACGCAGCCTTGGCGTCTTTATGTTTTCTCTCCATGCTAAAGCACGATACAACTTCCGAGTGCGCAGCAATGCAAGCTGGAACGTGAAACATGCAATGGGTTTTCTGCTTGCACGCGAGGCGGCCGTACACGGCCCTGTACACAATAAATTGTTCGCGCGTTAATTGGGGCAGAATGCCAACATTCTCAACGCAGTACTCCTTCCATACAAGCATGTCTGTTATCTTGCCCAACAACAGCATGCTGCGGCACTCCTCAACGAGTAAACCCTGCGGAACGACGACCATCTTCGCAAACCACGCCAATGCCGCCACAGCTGTTACAGTCTCCCCCGCATAAGCTTTTATATGAGAGCCTCTGGCCCGCGTCCGATCCTGAAAGAACTTGCGCGGTAAACCTCTGAGGGGCTTCGGCGGCGAGAAGCTGCCGCTGAATCTGTCCAGGAGATCCAATGTGAACGCGGTGGCCTCGGTGAGATTCGCGCAGAAATAATTCACTTCATATTGGGCCATTCCGCTCGACGCAAACAACACATGCATAAAATCCCAAAACGCGTGATCGATCGGGGAAACAATGTCGCGCAAAGTCCTGTCCCATATCAACGCATGCGGATCATACGTGAGGCCCGCTGCCGTCTCCTCGTGCTGGAAAGCACCAGGGGCAAGAAGTACATGGCTCTGGCGTTCGACGTGGTCTGCAAGGTCGTAAAAACTTGCGGTGGTGTGCAGATCGAACTCCTCTGGAAGAGCATCGTGCAAGTGCTTCGCATACATGTTCCCTGCTAACTTAGACACGTGGCACTTGACGACGTTCCTGCAGAAATAGCAGGGCTTGTAGCCCCCCGCCCCCTCCACAGCAAATGTAAACTTGAAAGCTTTCTCGTCTTGGATGATATACCCCAACGCACCAGTCAGAATGCGCAACGATCTGCTACTATCCAAACATCGGAAACCACTTTTAAACGACGAGGCGCCCATGCTGAAAAACATATGCAACACTTTGCCAACAATTTCGGACAAACC